TTTATACAAACCCCAATGCTTTTGTGATTAACACCAATCTTTTATCAATTATCACAGGGAGCACACCTGGTGGGCACGGGGTATGAGCTGGGGGCTGGCTGTCACCCCGGGGAGGGGGGACACCCCTGGGACCTGCTGCCCTCTCCCTTTGTGGTCCAGGTAGTTGAGATGTGAGCCAGGGGCAGAGCTGGGATTTAGGGGGCTTGCAGTGTGAGCCAGGAGCTGAGATGGGATTTGGGGGGTCAGCAGTGTGAGCCAAGGGCAGAGCTGGGATTTGGGGGGTCAGCAGTGTGAGCCAGGAGCTGAGATGGGATTTGGGGGGTCAGCAGTGTGAGCCAGGAACTGAGATGGGATTTGGGGGTCAGCAGCACCTTCCACTGGGGCTGGGATCCACGAGGGCTCATGGTGGCCACGTTGGCTCGTGGTGGCCACGCTGGCCTGTGCTGAGCATGCTCAGGGGATGGTCACAGCCTGTCCCCACTGCTCCAGCAGCTGCAGGGACACCGTGGGGGGAGAGAGAAGGAGGGCGAGGAGAAGGGAAGGCTGTTCTTCCAGCCTTTGGGGAAGCTGTGCCTTGCCCTCTGCCATGAGCCCTCCACAGCCACGGGCAGGAGGGCCTGGAGCTCTGGGAATGGCCCCTTTGGGCTCCCAGAGAGGGAGAGAGGAGCCCTGTGGAGGCTGGGAGGGGGATATTGATGATACAGGATGGAGTGTATGCAACCAAAACGTGCTGGTTTTAGTTTAATGGATTGTCTCCCTTCGCTGTTGCCCTGGGGACAATAACCCTGGATGGCAATATTTCAACCTGGGCTTTTCACAGATCTTTGCTTTTAAATGAGGTGTTTTTTCACTGCATGAGTGGCTGTGGCAGCTGTTCTTTGTGTTTTCTGTCTCCTCTCATCTCTACTAAATCACTCCGCTGCAGTTTGGAGTAGCCAGGAGCAGAACTAACTCAGAAGTGGCTCTGGTCACCAGCGGGAGGAGGGAGAGCCCTGCTCCCATCCCTCAGAGTCCCTAACAAGGGGGAGCAGCAGGCTCTCAGCTGGGCTTTTGAATTGTCACATCCTGCTGTCTCTCCCTTTCCCTGTCTCCTTCTCTTTCTGTCCCCTGAGGAGTGGGAAGAAAGGAGAGTTTGTTTCTGCACAAACAGAATTCCTCACTGGGGCTTTCTCAGGCCCCCACTCCATTCAAAGATTTTGTTTTTGTTTTTGTTTTTCTTTCCTTCAAATGTTTTTCCCCCTTTTTTTCCTTCTTTTCTTTTTCTCCATACTCTCTCTACGTTTCTTAGGAAAATCATCTGCTGGTTCTGATCCCAGTGTGGTACTGTCAGAGGGAGCATCTCTGTGGGGTGGGGGAAATGAACTGAAAGGACCTGAAAAATAAGTGTAAAACTTTCACTCTGCTTCTGTTTTCCAAGGGGTTTCTCTCCTTGAGACCTGTGGGGATGGGAGGCAAAGATGGTCTGGGATTTGTGTTTTTCTGGTTCAATAAAACACGCTGGAAGAGGGGTGTGGGAGCTGGTGGCAGCAGGGCTTAGTGAAAATTTGTCCCTTAAGGGTGAGGAAAAGGGGATCTGGGAAAAGGGAAGGCTTTGGGGCTTTTTCTAACTTGGCATCTGCCCAGAACACGGACGGGTTTTTCTCTCTCTGTAGCTCAGCTTTCATAGGGAGAGTCTCATTAATTTAATGCTCTTAAGAACATCAGCTGGGAGCTGTCAGTGTCCTGTAACACGGTGAAACATTTTTTCCTGGCTGGCTGTTGGAGGAACGAGTCAATTCTCCCTGCTCCGGGTGACATCCTACGGCTCACAGACCTTCAGGCTCGGGACAGGCTTTTGTGTCTTCCCTCCTCAGCTCCTTTTCCGTTCAGCTCCTCCTTTGCCCGCTCCATGCCTCTTCTTTCTTCTCTCTTCTGCTCTCTGCTTGCCTGCCTGCATGCCCTGCACCCCATGAGCCAGCTCCCTGCTGTCCCTGTCCCTCGCTGGCGATGTCACACCACGATGGCATCTTGTCTCTGGAATGACAAAGCCTCTCCCTGCTCCTCCTGCTGCTGTCCCCTCCCAGCGCCCACCCGCATGTGGCAGCCCCTCCCTGCACCTCCCTGCCAGGGTGGCTCCTCCTGAGCATCATAACCAAAGTAAAATCCATTAAACTAAAGGTAAAGTATCTTTTTCTTCTTGAAGTAGCTGGGTTTTAACTCTTCAAGTACCAAAGACGTAGCTTGTAAAACTGACAAAGAGAAGCTGGTCTGCCCTTTCTGGTTAGCCATGACCTTCCCAGGCTCCCTGGCAACTCTCCCCCCTGGGAAATTCCAGAGGGCAAAGTGTGGTCAGCAGGCAGGGGTGGCAGGGTGGGTGCTGCCAGGCTGCACGTGCAGGTCTAGAGGAACAATGAGGTTTTCTCACCCTCTGTTCCTGCCCAAGGAAGGATTTTTTCCCCCCCCCACATAGCTCTGCTCTCCCTCCTGTCACCCCCCGCCCCGTCTTCACGTGAAGTGAATGAAATACCCAAAGTCTATGGTACCTAAAGGGTTAAAAAACATGATCTTGTGCAAGGTCAGTAAGGGTCATTCTTGTGGCTTGGACAGTCAACTTTAAAGCATGTAAAAGGTGCAGCTCAGGTGAGTACTGGCTGGTCTCAAGCAGATTCACAAATACAGCCCACCCTGTGGCTGCAGACACCCCTGCATGTCCCGGAGCCCTGGGAGGGTGGGGAGGGGGTCCCAAAACGCTGCTGAAAGCAGCCAGCAGGCCAAGGCAATGCTCTCCTGGCCGGGGGCTCTGCCTGTGCCCGGCTCCCTGCCCAGGGAAGGGCAGAAGTGAGCTGGCAGAGGTGGGCTTGGTGGCACTGGGCTCCTGCTGCAGCTCCCGGCTCCTGGCGCTGTCCCCAGCGTGGCCAGGGTCACACAGGTTGGGCTGGATTGTGAAGGAATCAGTGCCAGGAGCTGCCAGAGGCGTGTCCAGCGTGGCCAGCCAGCACCCCTGGCTCTTCTCCTCCTGCTGCAGTCCAGGGCTGATGGGGAGGGGGCCGGGCAGCACCTGCGCCTTCTCCCCCATCACCCACCCCCCCTTCCACCTCGCCTTTTTGACCAGAGAAAGTGCAAAACCATCCCAAAAGGAGGCCTCGCCCCAGGGCCTCTCAGTATTCCCTGTTCTGGAGCGCAGAGGGTGAGTGAGCAGCACAGACAGTGCCCCCAGTGCCAGCTGGAGCTGAGCTCGCCCTCCTGGGGCTTTCAGAATGAGGTGCAGGATGAAGGGTAGGTCAGGTCAGACCCTCTCTGCAGTGGGTTTCTCAGCTCTGGTGGCTTTGGCTGGAACTAAGCAGAAAAGTGGATTTAAATATATGCCCAGCCTCTGATGAGGATGAAAAAAAGAAGGGAACGGCACCGTGGCAGCCGTGGGAAGAGGGCTGAGGCTGCCCCTCCATACCCTGAAACCATCCCTGAGCTGGTTGTGCACGTGGGATGAGCAGGGCACCTCTGTCCTGGAGAGGTGCTGCAGCCATCACAGCAGATGGACAGAGCCAGAGGGAAGGAGATCTGTCACTGGGAATGTGCTGTCCTGCTCTTCGTGCTGACAGTTTAGCAAAAGAGAACAGATTGGGGTCCAAAATTGCCATTTCTGCAATAGCTGGGGTTCTGCTGCTGGGGAAGGACTGGGGGGGGACTCATCATGAGCAGAGTGGCATTTTAAAAGCCAGTCATGTGCAGAAACCCACCAGGAGCTTGGTCTGGCCTCGTAGCTCAGTTCCTCTTGTTCTTTTGTAAGAAAGTCTTATAAGTTAGCAGTTGAAGCATGGAAGGTAGGTAAACAGACTGGGAATGTTCTGGAAGGAGTCACTTTTTATATCAGTATCATATTATTATTATTATTTCCTTTCTGGTGTTTTTTTTTTGTTTGTTTGTTTGTTTGTTTCAAATTATTGGCTTGATTTACGTTTTATTTTCCAGTTTGTTCTTTTTGGTTTGGTTCATTTGACATCTTTTGTGTTGTTTTGCGTGGCCAGCCATGGCCAGGGCTTGTTCAGCCTCCTCACTGGGAGTGCTGGGGAGAAGGGGGCCAGCTTGAAGACAGCAATAGTGCATAAAAATAGAAGGAAAACACCCAAAATGTCCTGCTGGGCAGGGTGCTCAGACAGCAGTGTGGAAGGATTTTCTCTGCCCTTTTTGAAAAGCCACTTTCCTCTGTCTCCTGGAGGCTCCTGGAAAGTGTGAGGCTCTCACTCCAGTGCCAACTGGGCTAAGTGTGAGTGGATTTAGCAGAATCCTCCAGGCAAGCTGGGCCTAAACATCTGGGCTTGACTCAAGGATGCAAATAAGAGGTTTGAAAACAATCATTCCTCACTAAAAGAGCTTTATTGTTGATTAAAAAAAGCGTCAGAGGAATGAGAAGCAGTGACCAGCCCTGATCTACTGCTTCTTTCATGTGATACTTGGGGGGCTTGTGAGGTCACCCCAGCCTGCAGAGAGTTAAAAGCTCTTTATTGCAGCTGGGTGCTGCTGGATTTATCGATTTGCCTTGAGGATGTATCACACTCTCTTTTCCTGGGCTGGTCAGCTGTCGTTAGTGACTGGCAGCAGTGTGATCCGACCCCTGGCAGTGTCCAGGGCAGGAAGGAGCAGCCTGGGTGCTGGAAGCTGTTCCAGGGCAGGGATGGGATGAGAGGAGCTTGAAGGGAGAGTTGTGGGCTCCACCTTCCCCACCCTTGCACAGGTGTCTGCTGCCACCCTGAGAAGGTGCCTGGGCACGACCACAGGTCCCGAGGTTTTCTCCAGGATGTTCAGAAAAACACCCTGGGGTAGTTGAGGCAGAGAGTGCAGTGGGAATTAGACCTGCTGCTGCTTTGGAAAATCCCCTGCATCCCCGAACACCTCCCCAAACCCACTGCCTCCCTCCTTCTGCAAGTGTTTTCTCTAAACCCTCCTCTTTAAACACCATTGCTTGGCAGGGTCCTGGGCATTCCCACTGTGGGATTTGGCCTCCTCCAGTCTGGGGACAACTAATCGCTTCCATCTGGAGGTACAGACTCTTAAATTTAAGCCTCCTGGCAAAAGATTTGCTTTTCTTACTTAATTTTCACAGATCCCTTCAAAGAAAATCAAGATCCCAGAGACTGAGGTTGGAAAGAAGTGCTTTCCCAGGCAGAGCAGCATTTGCCAGGCTGCTGTAAAGCAGGGAGCCAAAGGAAAGGGCTTTTATAGGGTGCAGCTGGGTGCTTAGCTGGTGCCAGCTCAGTGCAAGCAGCAGGACCCCTCTTGGCTGGCCCGCTCACTGGTTTAGTCCTTTGCTTTACACCATTTCAGTTTTGATGCCCCATTTAATTTCTGTTGGCTTTTTTTTTTTTTTTTTAAAAAAAAAACCTCATCATTTCGGAAAAAAAAAAAAAAAAAAAAAAAGACAACAACAAAAAAGCTCTCTTCTCTTTTAATTTTATCTTCCTAAACCAAACTTTCGTACGTTTTTAGCTTTTTTTGTTATCATTTTCCTTTTTATTTTTTTCTTTT